CACTCTAGCCTGGGCAACAGAGTAAGACCCTGACTCAAAAACTAACAAGCAACAACAAAAACTGCAAAATGCTTTACTGTCACGGCCGCTTAGGATAAAGAATTCACAGACAGGAACACACCTACATAGCGAGCTTCCAAAGACCAGGCACTTGTCCTGCTGCAGAACAAAGCCCTCTCAGGTGCAGGCGCATTGTGAAATACACGGCGTGTCGGGATGCATGTGCTGGACAGAGGCAGGTTCCTGCACCCGCCCGCAGGAGCACTGAATGCCATTCCTGCAGACGCCCACGGACCCTGGGGGCCAGGATGGCACTCCACCACCACAGCAGCATGGGATGTGATTTGCAGAAGTGAAGGACGGTGCTTTGGCTGGCCATGGTGGCGCATGCCTGCAATTCCAGCTCCTTGGAAGGCTGAGGCAAAAGGATCGCCAGAGCCCTGCAGGTCGAGGCTACGGTAGCCGGGAGCGTGCCACTGCCCTCCAGCCTGGGTGACAGAGTGAGACTCCAACTGGAAAAAAAAAAAAAGTATGGCGCTCATGACAGATTTTTTTAAAAAGTACATTCAGCCTCCAATTTATAGACATTTGTGGATAGCTCAGTGTGTAGTCAGCTGTGCCCGCCAAAACCTTCGGAGTTATGTGTAAGATGTACTTAAGTCCTCAGCTCAAATGATTATCAGCAGGTTTTTCTCCTAGTAGACGCTCAGAAGTCAGGGGACCCAGGGGAACTCTTTGCCGCGAGGGACATTTTGTGTCCACGGTGCTGGGACACCTAGCATCCAGCCTCGGGAGTATCCCCAACACGTGAGACTGAAAATGCCCACGCGGGTCTTCCTAGGGGGTGCACTAGGGGTCAGTGTGGCTCCTGTTGAGAATGTCAAGTTCTCGTTTAGGATCAAAATGCAGGCCGGAAAATCAAAGCATCCGGGAGAATCACATGAACTTGTCGACCAAACAGTTATAACAGCAGAAGTCACAGTGCTCAGCCAGACAAGATCACCTGCACACAAGCGCCTCTCAGGACCTGGAACTGAAGGGATGGTCTGGCAGGTGGGGGATCATGCAGAGACCTTGCATGAGTCCCTCTGGGCTGGGTCATGTACACAACACCTGTCTACCCGGCATCTACACCTGCCAGGGCTTGGGATGCCAGCTCTACCCTCAAGGGGGCGCCTGGTCTAGAAGAGCAGAGCACTCCATGATCATATAGCCATGTGGGGTCACCATGGAGAGCCACGCGTGGCCCAGGCCTGCCTGGGGCGGAAGCTTCCAGGAGGAGATGGCGGTGACAGGCAAGAAAGGCTTATTGGGTGCATGGGCGTCTCAGCATGAAACCAGAGGGGGGTCCTCCAGGGTAGGGGGGAAGGGAG